GGGGGGCGGCGCCCAGATTCGGCTCTTTGTCCCCACTGAGTCGCCCCCTTCTCCCACACCCCACAGGCTTGGGGAGGCCAAATGGCTACGGATTAGGTAAACTGAGAGCTGGACAGGGCGGGGGCAGCTCTGTGTCCTCCAAACAGGGGGCCTCCTGGACATTAGGCTCAGCTTCTCATTCCCCCATAGGCTACGCCTCCCCCAGCGGCCTGGGAACAGGTAAGGGTGGGCGCCTGGGTGGGGAAACCTGAGGGGAAGGGCTGGGGAAGGCTGGGGCTCGCTGGTTGCTCTCCGCAGAAGTGAGGTTTTGGGGTTGTGGGACCCAGGGCAGTGGCAGGGGCTGTGGCAGGAGGGAGACAGTCAGAAGCACATGGGGCCTTTCGTGCGCATGCTGGAACAGTGTCCCCTCCCCAGGTGGGGGACCCACCTGTAACCCCTTCCCAGCAGGCCTCCTGCCCCTGTGTGCCTGCTGCACGTCCACTCCCGCCAATGCACCCCCCATTCTTCAAGACTGTACTCTGGTGTCATCCTGCCCGTGGGACCAGTCCTGGCCACCCCCAAACTCTCTCCCGTCCCTGCTTGTCCACCTTCTGGTCCCCACTAAGCCCAGTGCCAGGGCTGCAAGCCAGGCTGTGGGGGGACAAGGAGGGGGAAGAAGGTATGAAGGGAAATGGGACGCCAAGCCTGCCCCCCACACATGGTAGACCCAACACTCACTGGAACGGGGCTGACCTTGGCTGAACTCCCCACAGGCCCTGCAGCCCCGCTTGGCTCTGGGCCAGGTAGGGGGCCTGTGGTTTTGGCAAGAGCCTGAGGGAGGGGATCCAGGTGGGTCCCTCACCTGCTGTCTCCCCCCCAGGCTTCGGAGGGGTCATTAAACCTCAGAAGGCAGGTGAGTCCTGCGCCAGCCCCAGTGCTCATTATCTGTCTCCCCACTTTCTCTCACACCCCTCACCTTCATCTGTCTGCCCAGGATTCGGCAACGGCAACAGGCTGGGAGGCCAGCCAGGTAAGAGTGGTGGGGTCTGGGAGGGTTTCAGCATCTGGGCATCCCCTGTCCCCGGTCCCCCAGGCCCTGAAGGGCAGCACTGGTGACAGGTGAGGATGAGGGTGAGGGAGGAGGGAGCCTTCAGATTTTCTGGTTCCTAGTTTGGGATAAGAGAGGGGTCCAAGGGTCCTGCCCCCCCACCTCAGCTGAGACCCCAAACCTCCCAGCTCACCCCTCCCTCTCTCACAGGCCCCCCAGCTCAGAAGGGCTTCTGAGCAGGTAGAATTGGGGCCAGGGTAGGAGTGGGGGGCCGGGGACCAGGGTCTCAGACAGCCCTGAGATGAGGGCCCTGGACCCTCACCTGCTCCATGTCTTTCTCAGGCGTCGGAGGGGGTGTGAAACCCCAGAAGCCAGGTAAGCAGCCTCACCCCGACCCTGTCTGTCCCTCCCCACTGTGTCCTGTCCCCCCATGCAGGCCCCCTCTACTCTGTCCTGCCCTGTCTCCCCAGGATTTGGGAATGGGCTGGGAGCCAGGGACTTCCCAGGTGCTGCCGTTCAGCCAGGGGAGGCCCTGGAAGGGAAGAGCAAGGGGATGAATGTGTGAGGGGACTGGGGGTGGGGGGCTGCCTGGGCCTGCTGAGGGGGCTGGGTCCGTATTGGGGATGCCCTCGTCCAGGCTCCCCAGGCCTGAGGGGCAGCCTGGGGCCTCACTAGGGGCAGGAGGGAGGCTATAGGACTTGTAACGGCTGGTATGGGGAGGACAAGGCTCCCCTCCTTCATCTATACCTTGGCTGGGACCCCAGCCCCCCTCACCCCCCAGCCCAGAGCAGGGAGCCCGGAGAGGAGGCTGGGTCCCTGGGGTTCCCTGTCTGCCCCATCTCTCACCCCAGGCTTTGGAGGGGGTGTGAAGCCCCAGAGGCCAGGTGAGTCCCGCCCCATGCCTGCTTTGGTCTGTCCCTCTCCACCTCTGTCTCTGGAGGCCTCGGCCCCTGCTCCTTAGGGCCCCTCCTCCTTAGTCCCTCCCGCTGCTCTGTCTCCCCAGGATTTGGGAGTGGGCTGGCAGCCAGGGCCTTGCCAGCAGCGTGAGCTCAGCCAGGTAAGGACACCTGGGGCAGGACTTCGGGGCTCAGGGAATCAGGGCAGAGTGGGTTCTAGGGAGAAGGCAGGGGGCTCAGCCTCTGTCAGCCTCTCCCCAGGCCTGGGAGGGGGCGTGAAATCTCAGAAGCCAGATGAGCCGGGGCCTGTCCCCTTGCCCTGCCTTCTCCCTCCCTGTCCCCATCTCGGCCACCATCTGCCTTACCCCTCCCAGGGACAGGTCCCCTCACTGGTCTGCTGTGGTCTAGGGCCTGGGGAGAGTCTTCCGGCGCGCACCCTGGGCCTGCTCGCTGAGAGAACTGTCGTGGATGCGCATGGGGCTCTGTGGGTGGGAAGCCCACAGGCAGGTTAGCCCCCAGCAGCCCAAGCCCAGCCTGGCAGCCTCTGTGGCCCTCTCTCCACAGGGGCGGAGTGTTGGTGGGAGCTGGGGGCAAATGCTTGGGTTCAGGGCAACCCAGAAGTGGGGTGCTCCTGGCTTCCTCACCTGCCCCCGTCTTGTTTTCAGGCATCGGAGGAGTTGTGAAACCTCAGAAGCCAGGTGAGCCCCGCCCGGTACCTCTGTCCCTGTCCCCCTTGGCGGCCTGGACTGCCCTCACTCCTTCCTGCCCCGTCTCCCCAGGATTCGGCAACAGGAACGGGGGGCTGGGAGTCGGGGCCTTTGCAGGAGTCGGAGCCCAGCCAGGTGAGGGCTGCTGGGCAGGGGCCGCCGGGAGGGCAATGTTCCTAGCAGAAACCTGGTTCCTAGCAGAGGGGGTCCTTCGGGGTTCATTCATTCAACCCATGTTTCCGGAGCACCTGCCCTGAGCCAGGCCTTGCTGGGCACCTGGACACCGAGCTGGTCACGCTGGACCCTGTCCGGCCATCACTGGGCTCAGCCCACCAGCTGAGAACCAGCTGTACCCTCACAGGCCAGACAGGACCCCAGGAAATACACAAGGGGTGGAAGAGAGGGGGCGGAGCCTCCGGCTGGGGGCGGAGCCTGGGACACGCGGTTGCGGTTTTAAACCGAGAGTGGAAGGCCTCATCTACCAATGAAACACTTCTTCTTGCTCCGGGACCCTCAGACACTCGCCGGGGGAGCTAATGGGGCATTTCCGAGCACCGGCGGGGAGAAACTGCCAGATTTGAGAGCTATTAGGAAGTCCGTTAAGGAGCCCTGGTGACGCACTGGTTAAGTGCTCAGCTGCTGACCGAAAGGTCGGCGGTTCCAACCCACCGGTGGCTCCACAGAAGAAAAGTCCCGGCGATCTGCTCCGGTAAAGGTTACAGCCAAGAACTCCCTCTGGGGCAGTTCTGCTCTGTCACGTGGGGTTTGCTGTGAGTCAGAAGGGACGGGAGGGCACACAACAACAGGAAGTCTGAGGGGCCAGACTTGCTGATGGAGAGGGGAGAGCTGGGGAGGGACGGGCTGGGGGCTGGAGGCTGCCTGCCCCTCACAGTCCTCTCTACCGCCGAATAAACAAGAAAAAAAAGTTAGGGTTAGGGTTAGGGGTCTCACCCGCCCCTTTCTGGGGCCAAGCCCACACAGTCACCTCCCCCACTTCTGGGACTCAGCCCACCCAAATGGAGGGGTGGGTGTGGGGAGCTCAGGGATCCCTGGGGTAAAGGTGGGGGGATCCAGGGGCCGGGCGGCCCCCTTCCTCATTGCCCACCCACTTAGACTACCCAATCTTCCACGTCCCCCAAAACAGGTCCAGCAGCTCCAAATGGCTTTGGAGCAGGTAGGGACAGGGTGAGGGTTGAGGCTGGGAGCCCACGGCCAGAGTTTCTGGGGGAGGCCAAGAGCTGAGGGGCTCCTGGGTCCCTCATCTGCTCCTCATCTCTCCTCTAGGAGGGGATGGCAAGCTCCAGAAGCCAGGTGAGCCTGCCCCATTCCTATCTCTGTCCATTATCTCTCCATCTGTGGCTTCCAAAGTCCCAGAGCCCCCCCTTATTCCCTTCTGCTCTGTCTCCCCAGGATTCGGGAACGGGAATGGGCTAGGAGCCCAGCCAGGTGAATGCGGCAGGGCCGGGTCTGGGGTCTGGGTGGGGGTGGGTGAGGGGTCACCTGGGGTGTCTCAAACGGCAGGATTGGTGAATGACTGGGGCCAGGGAGAGGGCCTCCCAGAAGCCTGGTTTCTGGCTTGTGCTAAGAGGGGGGACCTTCACCCCCACCTCATCCAGGGTCCAACCCCCCCCGCTTACCTTCCCTCTCCCTACAGGCCCCCCAGCTCAGAATGGTTACGGAGCTGGTACTGAGGGTTGGAGGGACTGGGGTCAGGATGCTGGGGTTCTAGGGTGGCTCAGAGATGGGGGATCCTGGGTCCTTCACCTGCTCCCCATTTTCTCCCATGCTTTGGGGGGGAGGCCTCAGAAGTCAGGTGAGCCCCACCCTGACCTGTCTCTCTCTGTCTCCTCCAAAGTCCAAGCCCCCCTCTCCTCACCCCACCTCCACCTGTCACCCAGGATTCAGGCTGGGAGCCCAGCCAGGAGAGAGGATGGGGTCTGGGTAGGGGTCCCTCTCTCGTGTGTCCTCTCCCTCCTCCCTCCTGGGTCTCAGAGTGGGGGAATTGGTGACAGAGGGCAGACTCCAGAATTCCTGGTTTCTGGCTTGGTCCAAGAGGGGGGACCTTCACCTCCACTTCAGCCAGACCCCAAATGCCCCCTGCTCAGCCCTCCCTCTCCCCACAGGCCCAGCTGTCCAGAATGGCTAGGGAGCAGGTAGGAGCTGGGCTGGAGAGGAGCTGGGGGAGGCCTTGAGATGGGAGCCCTGGGGTTCCTCACCTGCTCCCCGTCTCTCCCCCAGGCTTTGGAGGGGGCGTGCAGCCTCAGAAGCCAGGTGAGCCCCGCCGTGGCCCTGTCTCTCTCTCTACATACCCTTGAAAGCCTGAGCACCCCACTCATGCCTTCCTATCTCTCCGGAGGCTACGGGCCAGGCCAGCGGGCAGGGCCTTCCCTGCTGTGACAGGAGCCCAGCCAGGTGAGAACATCTGGGCCAAGAGCCTGGGCTTCCTGGACGGAGGGACCAGGGCAGCCAGTTGGGTCTTGAGTGTGTGTGGGGAGGGGCTGCGGCTCAGCCTTTCTGTCCCTCCCCAGGCCTGGGGGGGGGTGTGAAACCTCAGAAGCAAGGTGAGGGGAGGGCCCCCTTCCTTTCCCCAGCCTCCTCCTGACTCCCCTCCTGACCCTCTTCCACACACGCCCCTCACAGCCCTGCTTTCCTCCCCAGGATACGGCAATGGAAATGCGCTGGGAGCCCGGCCAGCTGAGGCTGCCGGACCAGGCCCTGAGGTACTGGGAGGTCGGAAGGGCTGGGAGAAGCTAGAGCTGGGGAAACAGGAGAATTGGGGCCTAGAGGGGAGCCTGAAAGCTCAGGAGTCTTCTTCTCTGCCTCTCTCAGGTCTCGCTCTCTCTCCCCACCTCCGCATCCCTCCCTGAGACACTAAGGGCACTGGGGCGGGTCTACACAAGAGGTTCAACACCTGTTTCCTGAACGCAGGATGTCTGGGGTCCATGGGAGGAGGAGAGGGGAGGCCTCAGGACCCCAGCCCTGCCTCATCCCCTGTTCCCGTACTGGCCCCGCCCGGTCACCCTCCCTGTTTTCTCTCCACAGGCGCTGCAGCTCAGAACAGCTATGGACCAGGTAGGGGCGGGCGGGGTTCTAGGAGGCCATGAGATGGGGATCCTGGGGTCCCTCACTTGCTCCTTGCCTCTCCCTCAGGCCTTGGAGGGGACATGAAACCCCAGACTCCAAGTGAGCCCAGCCCTGCCCCTGCCTCTCTCTGTCCCTACCCCCCAAAGTCCTGCGCTCCCTCCCCTCACTCACACCCCCACCCCATCTGTCCCCCAGGATTCGGGAACGAGCTGGGAGCCCAGCCAGGTGAGTGGGGCAGGGCCAGGTCTGAGGTCTGGGGTGTGGGCAGTGAGGGATCGCCTGGGGTGCTGGAGGGGCAGGATGGGTGAGTGATTGAAGGGCAGCAAGGGAGCCTCCAAGATGCCTGGCTTCTGGCTTGGTCCAAGATGAGGGACCTTCACCCTCACCTCATCCAGGGTCCCAAACCCCCCTGCTCCCCCTCCCTCTCCCCACAGGCCCCGCAGCTCAGAATGGCTACAGAGCAGGTATGGAGGGGTTGGGAGGTGCTGGGAGAGGAGGAGGGGAGGAAGGTGGATGCTTGGCCCAGACCCTGCTTCTGAGGGTCCTCTCAGGGACTGCTGTCTACCTTGGAGAGGGTGGAATTGGGGACAGGGTGAGGTGGGGGAGCCAGAGGGGGGCTTCCAGGATTTCTGGGTGCTAAGCTGGGAGGAAGAGGGAGGCCCAGCTTCCAGCCTGATCCTCCAACCCAGCCTCTCCCTTTCCCTTCTTCACAGGTCCTGTGGTCCCCATAGGCTATGGACCAGGTAGGGACTGTGGAGATGCCAGATTTGGGAGGCGAGGCCCAGAGGTGGGGCTCCTGGGTCGCTCACCTGCTCTCATCTTGGTCTCCAGGCATCAGAGGAGGCATGAAAGCTCTGAAGCCAGGTGGGCTCTTTCTCTCCTTCCTCCTGAAACTGTCTACTCCCCTCCACCCCGCCCCTCACCGTCCCCAGCCCATCTCCCCAGGGTACAGGCTGGGAGCCGGAGCCTTCCTGCGGGCAGGAGGCCAGCCAGGTGAGGAAGGCTGGGGGCGAGGGGGACCTGCAGTTCTGGAAGAGTGGGGGCTGGGGGGCCATGGGGTGAAAGGTTGGGTCCTGGGAAAGGAAGGGGCAGGGTGGGGTCTGCCTGTCTCAGCCTCTGTCTGTTTCTCCCCAGGCCTGGGAAGCGGTATGAAACCTCAGAAGCTAGGTGAGTCCATCCTGGCCTGGCCCTTGGCCTGACCCCCTTCCTGGCCCCCTTCCTGACCCCCTAGAGGCTCCCCCCCCACCCAGCTGCTCCCCTCATGCCCGGCTTTCCCTCCCCAGGATACCTGCCAGGGAACGGGCTGAGACTCCCTCCAGGTGAGTGCAGTGGCGGGCACTCAGTAGGAGAGAGAGCAGGGCTCCTAGGGTAGGGGTTGGTTGGGCTTGAATTAGCCCCTTTCAGCCCTGGCGGCGCAGGGGTTAAGAGCTCGGCTGCTAACCAGAAGGCTGGCAGTTCAAGCCCACCAGCCGCTCTGTAGGAGAAAGACCTGGCGATCTGTTTCTGCAAAGATGACGGCCTTGGAAACCCTGTGGGGCCATTCTGCTCTGTCCTGTGGGGTCACTAGAAGTTGGAGTCAGCACAACGGGTTTTCTTTCTGCTTTGTGGTTTTGTCCCCCAATAGGCCTGGCAGCGGGTGTGAAGCCTCAGAAGCCAGGTGAGTGAGGGAACCCCCAGGTGGTACTGGTCCTGCACCTCCCCTGCCCCTCCTTCTGGAACCCACCTCCATGAAGCCCCTCACAGCCCTGCTTTTCCCCTTCAGGATATGGCAACAGAAACGGGCTGGGGGCCCAGCAAGGTGAGGCTGCTAAGACCAGGCTGCAGGTCCCAGGAGGGAGGTGGGAGGGGTGTTGCTGGAAGGTGGAGGCAGCCAGGTGGGCAAGCAGGAGGCATCACACTAGGTGGCCCTGGCCCCTGCCCATGGCTTGCCACCTGGTCATCAGAACAGGTAGGCATTGTGGCCACGGGATCCAGGCTTTTTCAGTCCAGCCAGGTCCCCCCTTGGATGCTGTGTCTGCCAGGAAGCCAGTGCAGGCCAGGCTGAGCCAGGAGGGCAACTCACTCCCTACTCCCTTCCTCTTCCATCTTAGATCCCTGCAATGGGGGGGTGGGAGGGGTGTTTCTCCACTGATCCTCCCCAGGCCTCCCACTTTCGGGGTCCCTTCAGAGAAAGGGGGCAGCTGGGGCCTGAAGTCCCAGCCCCCTCCCCTGGGGCAGAGGGATAGGTTCCCAGGTCACTGGGGGTGGTAGGGCTAAGGGTTCCCTCCCCCACCCTGGAGTGTCATAGGAGGGGCTGGGCCTGGCTAGGCTGCTCAGAAGCCCCTCTCCCCGTTGTCCAGCTGAGACAAAGGCTTAGAGAGGGCACTGCTTTGTCACACAGCAAGCCAGCTGAGGACAAGCCGACACTCTGGCCGTGGGAACTCATGTGACCTCATAGCGCAGCTCCCTCCCCTCCTTTCTCCCCACCCCTGCCCTGGGCTCACTCCCACCCCTGGTTTTCTTCCTAGCACGGACCTCAGCCATCCAGTGGGGACTGAAGCCTCAGACAGCAGGTGCAGGGCTCTCCCCACGCCCCACGTCCCAGAGGGCTATACCCTCACCTGGGTCCAGCCCCCTGTTCCCACACCAGACTGGGGACACTCCTCCATCCCTCCAGCTCCCCAGGCTGCCTCAGCTGTTCAGGCACCATAAGGCCAGGAAGTCCTTCCCTGAGTCTACCCTCAGTCTCTCTTGCTGCCTTCTAAGCTCATTTCTTCTGGTTCTGGTTCCCTGTGGACAGGGGACTCCCTTATTCCTCAGACTCCCTAAGGTCCATCCTTGGCCCCCAAGGAGTCAGGGAGTATCTGGTCCCTCCCCACTGACCTCCCTGCTCCTCTCAGGGTATCAGCCTCCAAATGGCTACGGACCCGGAGCAGAGCTGGGTGCGGAAGCCCTGCCCTGGCCCTTTTTCTTTCCCTGCCTTCCCTCTGCTGGCAGGGTGGGCTGGGAGCTGGTTGCTGGGGGCAGTTCTGCATCAGGCATATGGGGGACAAAACTTATAGCCATCTCTCTCTCTGACCCCCAAGCTTTGCTGGTGGCCTCAAGCTGCAGAAAGTTGGTGAGCCTCCTGGGCCCCCATCTCAGGCCCCTCATCACGCACCCCTCTCTGTTCCTATCTCACTCTGTGTCCTCCTTCCTTCCTTCCTAGGCACTGGGCCATAATGGTGGCTGGAACCAGGTCACCCTGTCTCAGGCGAGGGTAGAGTGACAGCCTGAGGCTGGCTGGGAAGGAAAGGACAGATGAGGAAGGAGGGGAGGCAGGGAAGGCTTCCTGGAGGAGGTGACCCCAAAGTTGGCAGAGGGGCTCATCAGTTGAAGGTGGAGAGGGGAGACTGCTCCAGGCAGAGGGGACAGCCCATGCGAGGCCTTCTCACAGTGGTCTCTGGGTCAGTCTGTCTGTCTGCCTCTCTGTCTCTCTGAGCTGGTCACCCTGGCCCTCCCCATGCTGCCCCCCCTCCAGAGCGCTGTGCCCCCAGCCCCTCTCTAATTTCTCTCCTGCAGCTTTTGGTTACAAGAATGGTGGTCCGGGAGTTGGGGCGCTCCCTGAGACCCACCCACAACCAGGTACCTGGCGGGGCGGGGGTAGCGGTGGGGGTGCTTTATGTTCCTCCTCCAGGCTTCCCTGGGGCCAATGGCTTTGGGAATGGGGAGTCAGACCCAGGAGTCAAGGGACAGGGAGGGGCGGAGGGGACATCCCCAGGGGCTGGGCAGGGATAACTCGGCTCTCTTGCGGGGTACGGGGAGGAAGCGCTCGCGTACCCCGAAGAGGCAGCGCCAGCCCCTGAAGAAAATGGTAAGAACTCAGTATTCAGGTAGGAGGGTGAGTGCTGGGGAGGACGGGGGTGGGGGGCTGGGGGAGGGGAGGGGGACCCTGGGACCAGGGAAGAACTGATGCATCCCGGGTGTCCAGCTCCCATGGGTACAGTGCCCCTGCCGGCTCTCCTCCTGCAGGTCAGGCCGTGGCCCTTTGGAGCTCTCCGTGGTCCTCCCTCCAGCCCTGGGGGGCTGCCTCCAAGCCTGAGTACGCAGCTGGAGCCAGGGGCGTCTACCCAGGGGTGGGGGGCAGCCAAGTAATGGGGCGTATGGAAGGGCATGGTGGGGGAGAGGGGTGGCTGCAGGCAGCCGTGCGGAGATGGAGAGACATGGGGTGGGGGGCGCCGGGAGGGCTGGGAGGCCAGCGGAGCAGCGGTCTGAGAGTCAGCCAAGATGCTGACTGAGATGGGAGGGTGATGGGACCTGGGACAATGGCCGTGGGGACTCAGGGCCCTCACCTCCCTCCTCTCCCCGCAGGGCCCTATGGACAGCTGAGGCCAGAGCTGGGCCCCAGGCCCTTTGGTGAGTGGGGGGGGGGTCTCCCAGAGCCTGGGGTGAAGTTGGGATGGGCGGGAGAAGAATCCAAAGCCCTATGATGACGCCGGGTGACCCTGATTTGTCTGTGCCTTAGGGGAGCCTGAGGGGAAGAGAGGCAGCAACGGCCTGCTGGGAAATGGCTGTGGAGGTGAGGGGGGTTCAACATGTCACCCCACCAGGCTGCACTGGGGGAGGCCCACCATGTCACCCC